AAATTGCATAAATCTCTGTATGGTCTCAAACAGGCTCCCTGTGCATGGTACTCTCGACTGACAGATTTCCTATTGTCTATGGGCTTTGTTAAATCGCGTTGTGATCCCTCTCTGTTTATTTTCAAGCAAGGGCAGTGTTTGTGTTTTGTTGGTGTATGTCGACGACGTAATTATAACAGGCAGTTCTTCATATGTTGTGCAGTCCATTATTTCTTTCATTTCTCAGGAGTTTTCTATTCGCGACTTAGGATCATTGAGTTACTTTATTGGAGTGAACGTTCACCGCAGTTCTACTGGCATTTTTTTATCCCAAAAAAAGTATTTGTCTAATGTTCTGAAGTTGGCTAATATGAGCACTTGCAAGTCTATTTCCACTCCTATGCAGACTGGCATAACTCTTTCTCGCATGAATGGCACACTATTATCCTCTTCAGAGGCCACTCTGTATGGACGACTCTGTGGAAGTCTTCAGTATTCCACTTTGACTCGTTCGGATATCTGATTTGCTGTGAAGAAATTGTGTCAATTTATGCATCAGCCTTGCACCACTCATTTTCAGGCCCTTAAACGGGTTTTGCGGTATCTCTGTGGTACTATTGATCACACTCTGGTCCTTCGCTCCACCGACTTAGGTTCTATTACTGCATTCACTGATGCTGATTGGGCTGGATGTCCCGATGATCGTCACTTTACCATTGGATTTTTTATTTATCTTGGCACCAATCTTATTGCTTGGAGCTCGCGGAAACAACGTACTGTTACTCGTTCATCCACTGAAGCAGAATTTCGTACCATTGCCAATGTTTGTGTTGATGGTTCTGTCATCTTTTGTCTGAGCTAGGTATTCGTCTATAATGGTCTCCTTCCATCTGGTGTGACTATAATGGTGCTGTCTTCATGGCCTCCAATCCAGTCTTCCATGCTCGCACAAGACATGTCGAAGTTGATTTTCATTTTGTCTGGCAGCATGTTCGCAATCGCTATATCTTCATTCACTCTATATCTGCTGCTGACCAGGTCTTTGATATTTTCACCAAGTCTCTTTCCAAGGAATTGTTTCTCTGGTTCAAAGACAAATTTCGGCTTCTCCCTGCTCCACCTTCAGTTTATCTTAATTGTATTGCTCCATTATAAATAGATGTAAACGGATGTACAGCAAAGGTGAAACTCAATACAGAGAAAATATCTTTTCCTAACTCCCACAAGTAATAGTTATATTTGTGAGGGAGAAAACGAAATTATAAGTGTGACATCCTTTTACATGTACTATTTTATTTAAGATAGAAACGAAGAACTAGTACAGGTAAGGAGACCATAGTTTCCTCTGATTCTATACAATGCCAACAAGTTGTATGAAACAAATTCTTAATATTCATGATTTTGTCTTGGCCGAAACTTCCATTAACCATTGAGAAATTTATGACATTTCTTATGCAAAATCCCTGGCTCTATATGATGGCATCAACACAAACCCAACGCATTGAAAAAAAATAAAAATAAAAAATCACAGATCAACTTTTTCTTTGGTTCCATCCTTTTAGCAGGATTCATGTCTTATTGCAGGATTTCTTCTATTTTTATACACAAAGTTTTTCTTCCATTTGAGACATTGTTGGACTTGGACAAAAGTGTTGAGATGAACAAGAATTTGGCCAAGCAGAAGTCGAGGAAGCTAGTTCTAGGACAAGGCCTTGAGTTTAAGAACCTCTCTTATAGTGTCATGAAGAAGCAGAAAAAAAGACGGTGTTTGGATCACTAAAGAAGCTTATCTTCTCAATGATATCTTAGATCAGGCCTTGAGAGGTGAAATCATGGCCATTATGGGTCCTAGTGGTGCTGTGAATCGACTTCTCTTGATGCTTTGGCGGGGCGAATTGCTCAGGGAAGTCTTCAAGAATCTGTCAGAATTGATGGAAAGGCGGTGAGTCTTGATATACTTTCTTTTCCTCCCATGACCACTGGTTTTTCATAAGTTAATGCAACTTTTCTTTGGGATAAACTTTTCATCTGATGCATCTCTTCTGCAGGTGACAACAAGCTATGTGAAAGATGATCTTATCTTATGTGATGCAAGAAGATCAGCTCTTCCCAATGTTAACTCTCTACGAGACATTTTTATTTGCAGCAGATGTTAGGCTCCCGCCTTCAGTGTCCAGGGCTGAAAAGAAGAAAAGAGTGTATGAGCTTCCATTATTATGAGTATGACGATGATGATGAAGATGATTTTGATAAACTCAGTCGAGCGCAAAACCAAGCACACGCCGATGAGTATGCACAATGGAGTCTATAATCCATGTTTGGCATCTCATTTCTAGAAAGACTTTTCGATCTAGCTCTCTCTTGGCGTGAAGGGGACACCCCGTCGCCCACCATCAGGGACACCTGCACGTACCCCTGGATTTACTCCTGGAACAAAAAGCCGTGTTTCCAGCCAATTTCCAACACCACAGCAAGGAACAAAGACTCATGTGGCTATTAGCCCATCAGTCGATTCGCATGTCTCTTACATTTCTGAGTTTGATGAGTAAGTGCTTGATGAGCCTGTGCATTGGGACAAATATCCAAATCCATGCTTCATCCTGAGAAGCAGCATTATCTACTTCTGGTTGATTCTTTACGCGACACTCGTTACTACTAATGTGTGATGCAAGTCAGTTCAGTTGTCCCAAGCTACATCACAACATACGTGATCGTGATAGCTGCTACAACAACACTCTTCTTCTTGAAGGCATTCTCAAATTTCAAAATACTGGCTGTGACTGCATTATATTTCTGCAATCAAATACCCTTTCACGGCGTTGCTGATAAATGAATTCAAAGGCACTACTTGTTATTCCCCTCCGTTCCAAAATAAGTGTCGTGTTAGCAAATTGAAAAAAATTCTAAAATAAATGTAGGACTCACATTTTCATGCATAGTTTGTCAATTTTTTTCCAAAGTTACCCTCCATAAAAGTATAACATCAATAACATCTATTTGTTTTAATGGGTAGGTTATGGATGTTTTGGTAATTTTAAATATTGAAATTAAACGTTTCTTAAACTATGTGCATTTTGTAGAATGACACTTATTTTAGAATGGAGGGAGTCTGGAAAACGTCAAGAGAAGCAAGCTGCATAACGCATCAGTTGGTGTTCTACCATAGAAATGTTGGTTGATTGGGGAGGATCTCTTGTTTTCTATGGGAATTAAACTGGACAACTTCTGGCATGACATCTTGATTTTGCTGGCGCGCCGTCTATGGCTTCTTCTTCTACTTGGTGTTGAGATTTTACTCCAAGAATGGGAGGAAATGAACCTCCCCCATCTCTTAATTTTACCACAGGTCCAGCTAACATCAAATGCCTATCAAGTCCTACTTCTCCGAGATCAGAAACTTGACACATGCGACGTCCTGCACTTTCTTTCAAAAAACAGCCTTCATATCATATTAAATTGCTCATTTTTTTCCTTCTATACGGACATATATCAAGCTTTATTCACTATATTATAAAGTCACAAAGTCTGCCTCCAGAAAAGGACACTCAGAACAAAGATGTTATGTTATTTCAAGGCAACCGCATTTTGTTCATATTCATGACTGAACCTGTACAAGCTAACCTTTACTACTCTTTTTGCAAATGAATAAAACTCTCTCCAGAGGTAACCAAATTACACATTCAATATTGAATGGAATCCGTACAAACAGTAGCAGAATTGTTTGATTCTTAAAACTTTAGAACATCCCAAAAGATCCATGAACATCTAACAACTAATTAAGAGTCCATGCGAATCCGATCAATTTTGTATGTTGCCATCACAAGGCCACAGATTCTAAAACTCGGAATCAACAAACATGTCTTCCGGCAGTTAAACAGTCCTTTAAGCTGGCTTCTACATCTGCAAGTTAATTTTTCCAGTGACAATGAGTATAACCAAAGAAAATGGGAAAAGGCACAATGAAAGAAGAAGAGGGACAATAACATACATTTACATGTTATAGAAATGTAAGGAACAGACTATATTGCACCCAAAATTGTTTTTTTGCATCCATCTGCTCCCAAAGTTAAAATCAAAAGACTTATCATGCATTGCGATTTCCCAAAGGATCATCTTTCCAACCCTTTGTGAGCAAGTCGTAGTTGATTGTCGCAAGCTGGGACAGATTCTGGGTTACCAAAAAATAAGTGCACAGTCATAATCTGTATAATGCTACCCCAAAATCTAGGCTGTTCAGATGAATCAAAATCAGTCATGATAATAAATATGCAACAGATAATTTACCTTAAATGAGAAATTGCTGAAGGAGTAGTTGATAGAAGAACTAGAATCAAACTCAGCAAGACCCCCGCATTCATCTCCCTAATTGTTCATCCACCCAAGCAAAGTGTTACACTAAGTTCAAAACATTGTCCAGAATTCTTCGAGCATATCATAAAACGAAAATAAAATATTGGAGAGGACTTTGGAAGATTGGTTATACCAGTTCCTCTTGGCGGTTGCTCGGGCAACTACTGCTACCACTCATGCTACCATTGTCACTCGAATCCTCAAATTCACTGGCAGCATAAACTTGTTCTTCCGAAGTATTCCAGGAATAACGACTGGTGAAGTAACTAGTGTCAAGAGCACTCTCTGACGCAGGAACAAATGCAGCCTGCCAAAGTTATAACACACAAAAGGAAAGATCATCGATAAGTATGTACCTTACCCTCACCTTTCAAATGAGACCAGAGTAAAGACAAAGGCAGGGACCTTGCTAACTTAAGTGGGTACACTACCTTTTGCCTTGCTAAAGTGTCCCAGTTAATATCTCTAAAAAAATGATGCTGCTTCACCTGTAGACAAGGTCAAATTGGAACTATGAACAATCTGTGAACAACTAATGGTATGTGGAACATAAGAAGGCTGTTGCCTAGACTACCTCTGATGCTCCTTTTGCTCCAAGTCTTTGATTAGGATCTTCCGTTAACAACCTAAACATAAACAAGCAGAAGCTCAAAGGTAAATACATAACATGAATTAGACTTAGAAAGCAACAGCAATTCTGAGGGCATTAAGAAGATTCTCATAAAGGTAAAGGAAATAACATCATACACACAAGCATGCATAGATCCGCGCAGCGCAGTAGGATGAAGCTCTGAATAGTGGCAATGGCTAAAAAAGTTTTTTAAAAAAATTGGCGAGAAAGTCAACCCAAAAGAAAAGGGAGAAAAGAAAGGTAACTATTCAATAAGATTAATTTGAAAAACAGGAGTAAATAGGGTGCTCAATTTGTGGACTTATAATAGGACCGTGTTTCAACTTACTTAAAAACAAACAGAGGAGTGAGAGTAATCAACTATACCAGAACGAGAAAAGATCTAACTGCATCATTATTATAACTGGACACAGGCACTAGACGCCAGTTAAAAATATAAAAGCCTAGGGATGCCAAAAGCAACAGCAGTAATACTAAATGGATACAAATAGATAAAAAAAATTTAGTAGAATGTTCCTACCGATCTATGAGATCTTGTGCTTCAAAACTCATCTCCTCGGGCACCCGCGGCCAAGGTATATGACGATTCAGAATATTGTCAAATATTTTCTACAAGCAAAAACAAAATCAGGATCTGTTTGACAGAATAAAATCCAAAATCAGCTGGAAATGACAAAACTAGATACCACAATTAACCGATTGCAGAAAGTATGCAAAGCAGGATAATCATGATGTTATAACAAAAGAAAAAAAGATCCCAGTCCTATAGTGCCAAAATTTAAGATACTCTCCACCGTGACCACGTACTTCTAAATTTAGTCACACCACTTTATAGACGTCTACACAAAGTCCTTCAACAATGACAATACATGCATTCCATTCAGGCGTTTAGACAAGAGCAGGAAGACCAGCAACCATATGAACTAGTGTATATTGGAAATTGAAGAGGTCTGAAATTATATTAAAAGTCTACCTCAGAACTAATTAAATGGCCACCATTCTGTCTCTGACCAATCATTTTAATCAGATGAAAATTCAATGTGGAAATCTAAAGCCATTAACGGATTGAAAATGAAGCTTCCAAATATTCTATAATGAAAGTGCAATTTATCCAGAGAATTCAAGCATTATAGTAGTTGGAATGCATATATATGAGGAAAGTCAAGATTCAGCGAAGCAATTAACTTCTACCCAATTAACAACAAAGACCTTCATTTCTCCTATACAGCCCATATCCTGGGCACATCACTTTGCATTACAGTAATCACAATTATGTAGTGACACATTATACAGTAACTTTGACAAAAGCGAACCTGTGGGTGCTCAGCATTGAAAGGTGGGATTCCAACGATTAATTCAAACAAAATAACACCAACTGACCACCAATCAGCAGTAAACCCTGTTTCGGAAAACCATGCCACAACACAGTTAGACCAACCAAGCTATTAAAAAAGAAAAAAAAAGAAGAGTAAATACTAGATTATCAGATTTCAGCACAGGAAATCCATGAAGTAAAACTGACAACCATTATTGGTAATAGACCACAGGAAATGCCTACTCAATAATAAGTAGACAGCAAAACCACACATACAGTATTGATAAATCAGATAAAAGAAAAGAAAAGAAAAAAAAAAAAAAAGTTTACATTTTATTGCCTAAGAGAACAATGGCAAAAACTCAAGTTGCATCCTAATCCCCATGTAATATCAAGTATGACCATGGATACCAAAATTGGTGTCTCTATTTGCCAACGGGAGAATCAAGCAAACATGTCTGCAAAAACAAAGATAGATAACTATGAATACAAACCATGTCCTGTTCCCAGAAGAATCTCAGGGGCCAAATAGTCAGGTGTACCAACAGCCGAACGTTTCTTTCGCCGGTCTTCACTTTCATAGCCCGATAAACTGGAATCATCTTCTTCCATTAAGGATGTACCACTAACTGCTGGACCAGATAAATCATCAGTACTGTTGATGAGACCCACTTTAGAGAGCCCAAAATCTGTTAACTGTCAAAAAGAAGACAATTCATCAAAATCAATACCTACTAAATGCAAAATAAATATTGGCAGAAGACGGTGCAAAGGACAACAGATGACCCACAGTTCAACAGATGATATGTGAGTCTCAATAGAACTACTGATAATGCAGTCAACAAATGAGGATGAGCAACAATACATCCAGTGAAAATTACAGAGGAAAAGGTTAGAGACTAATGAAAAGACAAAATCACCAACTTACACTCTTAATAGCTACCCACTAACAAGGATAATTTTGGAAATAAATGTGCGCCACATCATTCACAGTCCCATTTCACAATTTATTTTCACTATACATATTTCCAATGAGGATGTAGCATACGAGTTGTCAAGCTAGGGTAACACAAGGGCATATCACTCCAGTAAAATTCCCATGTGCTTAAATCTCAGCATTATAGGCAAACTAGACAACTTAAAAGTGTAAAAGCACATATATTAAGAAAAAAACACAAGGTGGGGAAAAAAAGAAAATTGGCCCTTCACCTTTAAATGACCATCATGTGCGATCAACAAGTTGTCAGGCTTCAGATCCCGATGAACAATCCGTAGTGAATGCAAATATTCCAAAGCAAGAACCTGCCACCATGTTTAATTTAGCACCAGGGCGGGCATGCATGCAGTATAAGTTACTCAGAAATGAACGTACCACTTCAGCAATATACACACGAGCAACATCTTCGTCCAAGCAACCCAGATTTCTCAACAACGAATAAAGATCCCCACCATTCAAATACTCCATCACAAGATACAAATTTTCTCGACAGGTAAATGAATAGAAAAAGCGGACCTAAAATGAGGAGATTGAAAGTTAATAGTCAGATCTGATCTTTAAGACACATGAACTAGAGTTTGCCAGATGCTCACCACAAAAGGATTGCGAACAGTAATTAAAATATCTCGCTCCGCCAGTATACTTTCAACTGCATTCTTCCTTATCATATCTGCCTTCTTAAGAACCTGGAGAAAACATCAATATGTCAATAAGTGTATTGTGAAGTACAGAAACAGTCCAAGGTGGGATTTGGATTACCTTAATTGCAAACAGATCTCCAGTAGTTCTCTTTTTTGCCAGGAAAACCCGACCAAATGCCCCGCGACTGATTGGTTTAATAATTTCAAAGTCATCTATAGAGGTACGATCTTTACTAGAATGTACTGGGCTTGTTCTCAAACTACGCACAACATCATCTTCCAGTGGAGCATCTTCATCTATAACTGTGCTTGTTATGTCCAACTTGTCATCATCAACTAGCTCACAAAGTTGCAAATATTTTTCCCTGGATAAAAGAAACTATTTTAAAACCCTAAACATAATCCCGTAATTTAAAGTTGTAAATAATTACAAGTAACAAGTAACCCACCGAATGAGCTTCTCTATGCGAGCCCCAAAAGTCTCAACTGTGAGAGCATCTAGTTTCCGACGATCAACAACCACCCGTAAGTCTTCAAGACAAGTGAGCAGGTATTGCAATGCACGGTCATCTTCTAATGGAGTATTCGCCACACAACGAGCAATATCAGCAAGTTCATTCATCTGCATTGGAACATCAGACATGTCAAGGCTTTGATACCTGATAACCTAAATACGTAAAGCAAATAGATTCTAAAACTTATTGACAAGAACTGCTCGGGGATAATTACCAAGACTACACATATTATAAGACATAAAGCAGCAACAACAACAGAATGTTAATCACACTCAGGGTTATTTGTGCACATGGTTAACTTAGACAGCTGAATCGAGTGAATTCTATGCAAAATTTGATCTAGTTTAGAATCTCTAATAATGGAATGGAGACAGATACATCAGTTAATGTTATGCCTTAATGTTATGCCTGAAGGTATAGGAGTCATACCAAAGAGTTCTATGAGTTGTCATTAATATTTTGTAAATAATCGTTCCTGTTTTTTTTTTGGTAGTTTTCTGCATTCCCAAATATAGATTTCAACCCCTGGTAACTTTCAACAATAAAGTACAGCCTACGCCCTACGATAAGTTGAGGCTGTGTAAATTAGAGCAAAACTCTTGTGCCACATCGATCATTTATTAAAAGCTGTTAAAATAAGATAGCATTTGCCAACGTGTCTGCGTCTTCAACTACGCAAACCCATGAAAATTCAAATCAGAGTCTTGAAAGTTTCAAACCCCACTAAACAGAATAAGAAACACGTTTTAACTTAGTGATGGTCAACACAAAACTTTCTCACCTTAAAGTGGCTGAATTAAAGATACAATTATGCATTATCATCACTCATGTAATTGACATTTACATTGTTAAGTTTTCAACCCTGAGAGCCCTTTTGGTCAGCAGGAGTTCGGAAAGAAAGGATAATTAATATGAAAAGAAAAAGAAACTAAATACTGGGAAAATGCATTCACATCCCAATTGTTCAAATTGGTAGCATCATATTTAGAGGGGGAAAAAATGATCAAGGATAATATGTCCACCTAGAAAGGAACCTACCTGGGGAATATCATCATGCTCAGAGTAAGCACCTTTTCCACCCAACAACAAGTCGATCTGGCTGGTCCTTGGTGTCATCAAAGGCGACCTAGGCGTAATGCTGCCTGCTGATGAAGTGGTCATTCCTTGATCAGACTTGGGGCCAAAACGGGTTTTGCAAGATGACAAACCCTTTAGGTCTTCCATAAAAGCAGAATTGTCGACTTCGGGAAAGCAGTCCAGCATGTCCTCTGAACCTCTTCGAGACCAATCACTTAATTTAGGGGACAAAAGATCAGATTCTTCAGTCACACTAGAGTTTGATACCTTTGCAGTCACAACATCTGGACTCCCAGCAACCGGTTGAAAATCTTTCTGTGAAAAAGATTCCATAAGCTTCTCAAGAGTTTCAGCAATCCTGACAAGACGCTCATTGACACTCAAACCCTTTTGATCACTGCGATCAGCAATTGCACATATCCTAGAATGTTCTTCCACATGCAAAGTTGGGACCTCCTCCTCACAGATACGACAAATGATTGAGCTCTCTTCGGGCACACTAGGTTGGTCTCCCCAATAACCCCAAGAAACTTTATGCTGGTGCTTGGATGCAACCGAAGTATGTACGTGTGGTTCTTTGGCAGAGGACATTTCAGGAGGCTTAGCAGTTGCAAGATACCCATCATCTATTCCTCTTCTGGCATTTAACATCTTAGGAATATCAACATTAGTCTCGTTATGCTCCTTCGACGGAACAACTTCTTTAGGGCTTTTAGCAACAGGAGAAGGAAATTTCTTCCAAGAAGCCATGCGGTCTCTACTGGCTGGAGAGTCCAAGTTCTTTGCATCTTCTATAGGTGATAATGATAAATTTCCACGCTTTATGTCATGTTCTTGCTTCCATTCCATTCCATGTTGCTCTTGACTATAAGATTTCCGTGTAGAGGTCCTTGATGCCTTTGAAGCACTGGATACCTTTCCATCAACTGCCACCCCAGGAAGAATTCGATTATCTACAGGATGAAATGATTGACGAAGCTGAAAGCTAGGTTCATCCTCAGCAAACCCACTTTCCTTATGAAACTGCAACAACCTAGTGCATCGGGTGAGTATAAAAAGCATGCGGGTATGCAGCTGTTTAAGCACACCCATTGGTAGCTCTTGACGTCTATCATCCAACTCCTGAACAATGCCTTCACACTGAAGCCAAAATTCTCCTGGCGGCGTCATAGCACAGCTACGGGCCAATACCAGCAAGTCCTCAATGGTTTCTTGCCATTCAGGATGATTTTCAGCATTCTTTTCCAGAACCCCTACTAAGTCACCTGCAAAGGTATGCAGATCTGCATCCACTTCTTCCTTTGCTTTGTCAAATCTAGTCCTTATCATTCCCAGAACCTCCTGTAGGCATTACAAAATCATCACAGTTAGAAAATAATATCTTGTGAACTATCCATCCGCCAAAGATACAAAAGACAAACAAAATCTAAATACCTCCAGGTTATTCAAGCCTCTAGGCTTCCAGAATGGAAAGGGCCGTACACCTTTTGAATTCAATTCATGGGAGAAGCTTTTAATATCCCCAGGAAACCTCTTCCTAGGTGCACTTGTAACACGGAGTATAGCTTGAAATCGTGGAGACTCGGATTCTTTGGGATTGTCACAGTCGTATGAAGTCTACAAAATAACACATTGCATAGATCCCATCATGAGATCTTATCAATGGCAATGAAGGATCACCAGAAACAAATACATTGGTACATGCAAAAAAGAGGTAAATTCTTACCTTCACATCGGGAGTATAAACGTCTGAACTTCTTAAATTTCCAGAGTGGCCCCAAGAAGCCTTAAATCGACCTGTCAGAATATAAGAAAGAAGAATTTTTATTGAAAGGCAAACAACTCAAAACAAATGTTCCAACCTAGAGTTTAAACAAGTTGCTTAGCCAATTGCTGAGTTCAGTGTCAGTAGCAATCAAGTTAACTGTAGAGAACTGTCTGTGACAAGTTAAAACAACCTGAGACAAAAACTTTGGCTGAATAAAGAAAAATAAAACAAAGAAAAAGAAAAACAAAAGACTAACTTATGCAAACAAATGGTATCCTATAATATATAAAAGAGTTGAGATGGTTATTTGACTGCCATTCCACTAAAAACCAAGCAAACAAAACTCACTTCTAATTCATCTTCGCCAAAATCAAGGACAAGAATGGTCCTAATTCTTTTCTTTGAAGATAAATATGGGGTTTGCCAATAAAAGCATCTCTGAATGCGTTTCTAAAGTCTACACACCAGTATGGATACTGACGGTACGTAGTATGAAAAACGAAGTAACCACCTATTTCCTAAATTACACACTCTCTGCGCTTCAAGAATCTTAATTCCACTCGGATACCCATCATTAGCTAATATACCCAAAGAAAGAAAAACTCTCTCACACGCACACATACACAAACACAAATTCCGAGAGTGATCAGCCTTGCATTTTTTAAATATGCCAAAGGATTACTCATGAATGATCATTCTCACTTCCTTTCCTCAAAATCCACCATCTCAAAACAAAAAGGTTGTCCACAGATCAGCTCATTAAGCTTGGTATAAGGGCATGCTGCTTTCAAATTATTACTTGTACCCCAAATGCATGTTACACTTGTGCCATTCCCAAATCTAAACATTTATGGATCAAAAGCTAATACAGTCACCAACTCCTCCTTCAACAGAATCAGAAAAAAAAAAAAAAAAAAAAAAACTGATCTACCTTTTAGCCGGCAATCATGTACAACATTACCAAAATTCCATCTTAAATTAGTGACCAAACTTTCATGCACTTTCCACTCTTTGCACAAGAGAAATAGTTGCTTCTATAATCCCAACTGAATTATTCTTTTATTCAGTTAAGAACTTTGTAATTCTCAGGCGTAAACTATGCGATAGACTTAAAAGTAAAAGGATTTTTCAGCTACACGAATGGCGCAACAACATTCCAGTTTTGTACAGCTAAATCCAGTAGCATTTTGTGCTGACAATCAGCTCGTATGCTCCTTCAGAACTTTCTATACAGTTTATATCAGTATCTAAGTACATATCTTTAACAATGCAATATTAATGAATATCAGTTCTTTAAGGGTAAAAAACATACACACGCACAAATACATTATCAAATTTTTCTTTGGAAATCATACCAGCTTCAGAGGAAGACTCTGCATTCTGCAACCTCGACCGTGCCTGAACATGGGGACTTTGATCCCTAGACGGCCCACTTTCAGTAGACATACTATCAGAATTACTGCCATTATCAATCCAACCAGCATTTTCTGCACTTCCAACTACCTTCTTCTTATTCTCATCACCATCCTTCTTCCCCCCAATCTTCTTCCCAGAGCTCAAAGTGGAACCTCCATCTGTACCACCACTGCTGATTCCGACAGGCTTCGACAAATTACTAGCTCCCAAAGCAGTACCTTTATCTCTACCGCTCCCAAACCCGAAAAAGCTCTCCTGAGGCAATGGCCCTGATCGAGTCTTAATTTTATTCAAACCCAATGAGGACGCAACAATAGGCGACATCGACATGGCAGCAGCTGGGGCAGCAGAACCCGAATCCTTCTTAGCCTTCCCCGCAACTAAATCAGACCCGAACCCTTTTTTACTCTTCAAACCAGTAGAAAATCCTGAACTGGGTTTCCCCAAATCCGTATCCTGAGTAGCGGTTTTGGCAATACTCTCCTTTCCCTTAACTTCCTTCTTCCCATCTTTATTTTTGTCTTTGTCTTTGTCCCTGTCTCTGAACCTTAAACTACTACTGGGTGTACTCGGGGTGATTGGGGAGTTATCTTTCGAATTGGATGCAGATAAAGATTTCGTTTTCTTCCTGTCCAATCGGATCGGCGAATTCGATCCGAATGATCGAGGGCTGCTTGAAGATCCTCCCCCATCTGGGCTAGAAGTATCAGATTTCTTAGAAGAAAAAAACCTGCCTTTGAAAACCATTTAAATCCTTGATGATGATGACGATGATGATGATGATTTAAAGTATGAATCTTTAGGGTTTTAAGCAAGTGGGTTTTTTTTATATGTGTGCTTGAATTCTTGCAGCCCAGCACACAGCATAGAAACATGCAGGGCTGGTGAGTTTTGGGACTAAGGTGCTTCAGCAGACATCTATGCAAAGTGGTGATGATGGTTGAAGAAGATGGGCAAATAAGGTTTTAAAAAAAAAAATGGAAATTTCTATCTATTTTTCTCTTGAATGGGATTAAATATAGGGGGAGTTGGGAATAATGGGAGAAAAAGGGGGAAAAAAGAGGAAGAGAGATTTGATGTTAGATTTGGACATGAAAATGGAAGTGGATATAGGAGGAGGAGAAGGAGAAAGAAGTGGGGTTGAATTGAACTGAACCAGCCACGAAATTGGACTACGACAGTTCTTGTTTTGGGAGTTCTCTTCAATTTCTTCTTTTTTTATTTTTTATTCTTTAAAATTCTTCCCTACAAATCTTGGCAAAGGAAAATACCAAAAATTATGAAAGTTTTTTCGTTGCCTAAATAATTCAGTCAGTGATCAAAATGCTTCTAATCCTATGTAATAACGGTATAAGTAGAGATCGTGACTCATCTAATATTTTAGATCATTTCCCAAATTATTCACAAGAGAATCGATGTTTTCAATCGAATATCACATTGTAAAGTTTATTCTGAAACACAATTAGTAATCGTTACATATTTAATTTGTTCGGTAAGCAATTGTTTTATATTCTCTCGAAAGATTTTGAATGAAAATGTTACTCTAGTGTGTATTAATATAAAAATTTCGAAACACTCACCTCGAATTAGGCATGACCACGGTTCAGGTTTTAACCGGAACTGGCTCAAAACTGGACCCGTCAGTTCATGAACCGGATCAGAACCGTGAGTTCGGTTCATAAAATCGTAACCGGACTGTCTAGTTAACGGCCGGTTACGGTTCAAGCCTTCTAAAAATCGTAAACTGACAGTTCAAATCGACGGTTTTGAACCGGTGGTTCAAACCGTCAAAAACCTCCAATTAACCGTCGGTTTCCTAAAAAATAAGTATAGAAATATTAGTTTTATAAACATAAAAATGTTAATTACTATCTCATTTTCAAAATAGACATCCATTTTCTAATTTGTAGTTGTATCAAAGTACTAGTCTATTTTATTTTCCAATAATAATTTTTGAAAGTTTTTTTCATATTACCCTTGCATTTTAAATATCATTTATAAAGTCTCAACACACAATTACTTAAGATTACGTGACTAATCTAATTAATTAGGAGTTAAATATAATTATTTTCATTTATTAATGATTAACCTGTTACTATTGTAGTATGTATTTTTTTTTTATTAATATTATGTTTTGTTGTTCTGTATTTAAAAAAAAAATTAATGATAATTCATCTTTTTGAATAAATTTTAAATATTACCTAAATATTTTCATTTTTGTTATTATTTACGAAATCTAGAAAATACTTGTGAAGTTTTCCTAAATTTAATTTAAAAAATTTGTATTAAATTTTTTTGCTAGGCTAACAATCATACAACATAAAAGACATATTTTAAGGATTTGAATCAGTTGCTTTAAAAACCAAACACGAAATTTCTTTCTTTCTTTTTTTTTTTTGGAACACACAACACAAAAAAATTGTATAAAAATTAAATTAAAATCGTAAAAGAATTGGTTTAAAACCGTTAACAAACTGGAGGGTTCAAAATCAGAATCGGCCCAGAACCGGACCTTAACCGGAAATTTACAAACCGTAACCGTAATCATAACGTTAAGAAACGGCTAAAATTTATCTGTTTTCTGAAACGTGAACCGGCAGTTTTAAACCGTGATATGCCTACCTCGAATATGGCAAAGGAAGTGTAACGTAGTGGCTTAAAAGGGGAAAGAAAATCAGAGCAGTGAATATGCCAAAAGCCAAAAGGTCAATAACGTTGAAAAACAAAATTCTGTTTCTAAAGGCAATTAATGACTATTTCAAGTTCATGCAGATTGAAAGTTTCAGATTAGGATCTGATGGGAAAAAAAATCTTCTTGAACTTAAGCTCAATAAATAACGTCTATTTGAGTTCGAATTACTACTGAATCTTGGAGCTCAAATTGAAGTTCACTTCTTGAAAAAAAAGGGTTAACATAATGTCTTACCTACAAATAACTGTTCATTGTTTTAGTAAGTTTTTTTTTTTCAACTGTATTTTACTGTAATTTATATTTTCTGTGACGATGGTTTGTAATAATTCTTAGATGATGATTAAATTTTCTTACAAATTATAATTCTTGATAGATCTTTGGCCTAAATTTGGACCTCCCGATAAGCAATTTCAAAGGAATACATATACAATATATATGACTATATGTGTGTATAACAAATATAAGGATTTTTCAAGAGTTTATTTTCTAAAATGAAAAAAAGAATAGTCAACATATTTACCAAACGGCACAGTAAGAGTAAATCAAGGCTTCAAATTTGACTTGAGTTTGCATGTGTTTTTTCCTTCTTTTTTACCAAGGTTTGCATGTTGTCATAGAATTCCTCCTTTTCATACTCAAAACTTCATGTGTTTTTATTGTTTTTAAATCCAAACAAAAATTATCTTTAATCTTTAATCAAGGGTGAATTCGGACTGTGCCTTTGATCGAACATCCGGAGTGGGCACTGGGCAGCACTGCAGGATGAGTGTGGAAATGGTAGCCATGGACATAAGATTTGAGTTATTAGGAAAATTAGTAATCCCTCCTATTCTTATTATAATGCATTTTGATTTATCTTAGGTTTGTCTTAAATTACACTTAGGATATCTTTTTTTATTGAAATAAAAATCTTAAAAATATTTTCTAATAATTAGGAGAATACGACGAATATGAAAATATATTTTTAAGGTTTTTTTTCTAATTAAAAATGTATCGTATGTGAAACTTAAGACAAAATTAAAATAACTTATAATAAGGACATGAAGGGAGTACAACACAATCGGTAACCAAAGAGTTGTTACTTGTTACCTTTTATCGGGAAAAAAAACATCACAAAGGGTCCATAAAACGATGAGAAAGTTTGGTTAAGAATGAACAGTGAAAGTTAAATTATTTTGGGAACCAAATTTCATAACCAATTACTTGATTTCTTACGCAGGAACAAAAAGTATACTATTTTAGTATTTGTATGATAATGTCATTGGTTAGAACACCAATTTCATCTTTGTTTCCCACTCTTATAACGTAAATAACTTGACTTTATAAGGCTTTCTCAGCTATTGTTGTTCCTAAAAAAGGAAAGAAAATTAAAAAATTCTGTCATTTTCTGTACTCCGTTTGGAGTAAACTTCTTTCAATTGCAGGCCTTGGACTTAAATTTATATTCTCAACCTCCTCTGAGCCACGAGAAATGAGGAAAACAGCTTTGCTTCCTTTTTGGGTTGTAAAATGGCCCATCTAGATTCTGGATTACCCATGAAGTTTTGTCGAATTTCGGATCTAAATAATACGTCCGAAAAATTGACGAAACGAGACTCGGCAAGGAGACAAGGATCCTACAATCCAATGTCAAAGGAGTATAAGACCATTCAAAAGTTTGGTCTTAAAGTGTTTATGATGATGATAAGTGTTATTTCCCACTACGGGTGAAACTGGAAACAAATAGGGTAGCAAGTACTCCTTCCGTCTCACAATAATAGTCCATATTGAGTTTTGAGTTTTGTGCTATTTTTAGTATAAATTTAAACACTCAATGTGGACTATTTTTTTGAGACGGAAGTAATAATATTTTGTGAACGCCTGTTAGGATTTAGGATTCATATTTCGCTAACACCTCCATCTATCCTTACGAAAAGTTTATATGTGGAGAGTTATAAACAGGACTCTTGTTTTTTTTTTCCATTTCCAACTACATTATGTGAGTCGTGAGTCCTTTTTGAATGTGCCAAAAAAATTATTAAATTAAAAATATAATAGAGAATCAACGTGTAAGAGTTAGAGTGTGACAACTACGACGGAATGGACCGTGAGTAGAGAGGATCAATATATGAATATAATCATGGAGTTCATGAAAAAACACAATACACGCAGCATGATGGAAACTTTAATAAGAGAGCAACCCCAAGACTCTCGCTTACTCTACATAATGATGCATGGCATGATTATGTATGTATGTTATGTAGTTTCACGATTTTGATTATTAAAAAAAAATGGAATTATTTTTGGTGAAAAAACACTATTCACCATGCAAAAGTTGATGGTGGACAGAAAAAGATTTTTTAAAAAAAAAACAGAATGTTTTCCTTTTTATGGTTTTGGCGACACGACATGCCAAATATTTTTCAGACTCGAACTGTAATTTATCTTGACGTGATACTCCCTCCGGTCCTTATTATAAAGTATTTTGATTTTTCTTAGGTTTCATCTAATATACATTTTTAATAAACAAAAAAAATCTTAAAAATATTCACATTAATTGTATTATCTTGATTGTTATGAAATATTTTTAAGGTTTTTTTGTCGTTTAAAAATGTGTATTAGATTAAACCTATGACAAATCAAAATGCCTTATATTAAGGATAGAATGGAGTATGTGATTCCTGACTTCCTGACATGATATCGTTCTGATATGCATAGTGCAATTGTAATTTGTCTTAACTAATCTGACCACTAATCACTGTGATATGTATATTACGAGATGTATACTACATAATGCTCAAATGATCCACCCAAAGGAGTGTTCAAAGATAAGGCGTTTGCCCCCCAAAAAAAAAAAATGTATTGCTTCTTCTACGTAGAATATGAAAATTTGTAATAATATAGATCTGCAATATTAATTAGTGTAAAAATATTTATTTATTTATTTTTTAAAAAAATGTTATTTGACTCATATGTTTAACTCCCATCAAAGTCCATTTTGGTATTGAGGCAACTGGACTGCCGACAAAGCCCGACACGTCCAGATTGGCAGATTGGGTTGGTTGGATATTCATTT